GAAGAAAGAAAGAAATGAGGTGTTGTCTATGCTTAACAACTCGAAAACTTGTTCTTTAACCGATGATTTGATATAAAATCATCGTCGAATTGCGCTCGACCGGAAAGATCGAACAGAATGGAACTACTGTTGGTGTTCCCGTTGTTCGTGACCTCAGTAACCGCATCCTTCTGGAGCTCCTGTTGTACCTCAAGACCAACTTACGGCTATTTGGGATCGTATGAATCGCCATCAGCTTTGTCATATACGCCTATCTACTCCATATATTCACCTAATCTATCATCCTATCCGTCGTCCAACTCAATTGTCATCTCTTCCTCACCAACAACCACCGTATATTCATCTAATCTGCCATCCGATCCGCCCTCGTCGTCCAACACAATTGTCTTCTCTTCTTCACCACCAATTACAACTATATGGTATCCAGAAGCTATAGAATATGTGAATCGAAGGTGGCGTCAATACAACCTTGGACAAGATGGTAGAGGTCAAGTTAGCAATTATCCTCAACGAAATCATCTTTTTGTCAGATTATCCAGGCGAAGACAGCGATCTACTACTGGAGATCTTCGTGAGTTAGGTGTATATTTTACCTAAACATTACCTTATTATTATTACCTGATTTACCTAAACAGCTACCCACACCTACCGGTGTCTGTGCCGGACAGCTCTTCCAACATTCTGAGCTCTAAATTGGCAGTTTAAGACTATTCATGCTTGTTTAACTGTTCAATGTGAAGCGGTCACCCAACCCTCCCTCTCCTATCCAGCCTCCACTTTGGAATTGGAAAACTAACATTATGGCTCCATTTCTTCCGTTACATCAGGAGAACGGCACTCATGACTGGTTCACTGCCCCTGATAGCTCCGCCAATAGGCGTCGGTGGACAAAGTAGGTGAAACGTGTGCTTATGTCTGTAATTAATTAATTCAACACTAGAGCGTCCAGTTAAATCCAGTCAAGACCAACAATCATGAAGGCAAGATCCCTCTAGCCTCCTGAGGACTCGATATGGGGCAGAACGGAATTACTCCATCGTCTGAGTTCGATTGAAAATCTATAAAAACTCAAGAAGCAGCCAATTGAACGGTTTTGACAGAAATAAGATTCAGAAGTTCAGTCAGGCAGAGGTTTGAGCTGATTCTGAAAAATGGAATAAACTTGACTATCTTCAGAAGGAACACGCATACCTGCACCTCCACCTACGCCTATGAATGCTGGCTCGATATCTTCACAATCGGTGGCTGCTCGAGGTGCCATCGACGATGTTCAAGGAAAGAACGCTCAGTTAGCTCGACAGGTGGGAGCTTATTATTAAGTGTGTGCATTAATTCCCGCCGTTTTTCGCATGCAAAAAAAATATTTATTACAAAATTGAA